AGTTTGGAGTTTGGAGTTTGGAGTTTGGAGTTTGGAGTTTGGAGTTTGGAGTTTGGAGTTTGGAGTTTGGAGTTTGGAGTTTGGAGTTTGGAGTTAAAAAGCGGTCATGTTGCGAGTATCCGGTTTGTTAGTAAATGATCGATTTCTAGGAGCGATAACATGTTTACTAGAAAGGGGCAAGCAATGGGTCAGCAGAGACTGAATGCCCTATCTTTCTTACACCCGAAGAAGACTCCATAGCCAAAACGTTTTCTTTCTTCTCTTTTCAGCATGGAATAAACCTATTACTATTTTCTTTGCAGCCTACGCATGGTGACGCAGCTACCAGCCTGAACTACTTCTTTACTAGAATGTCTGTTTGATAGCTATAAAGAGAATAGATTGTGGTTTGAAAGAAACAACGGGAGCTTTGACTGAATATATACAAGCTCTTTAAAGTTTTTTTTGTTTTAAAACTGGGTTCTATTTCAACAACTTGAAAAGTACGTTCTTCAAACCCCCACCACCGTCTTTAGATTTACTCCGCGATGATTTTAGTAATATTTGGGGAAAAACCTCACTTCATTACCCAGCGTCACTTGCTGCACTTGTTTCAAAAAGTGATCCAAGCATCCTCTGTGCCGTCTCTTTCTGATTGACAGTTCAGTAGATCTTTCTAGCTAACCTATCCCCAAAACAAGGGCGGGACTTCCTGTGTGCGAGAGGTCTGTCTGTTTTGGTGGAATTGATCTTGGCCCATAAGGTGAGAGATTATAGGTTTATGAATTATTCTTGGGGAGAGTGCTATCGCTCCACACGCTTCTTTTGAGTATTCTGCTACATTGCACTGTATATTTAATTGTTGCAATTCTGGGGTAACAAAATAATAAAGAATGATCAATCAACAATTGCTCTACAGTGTACAGTATGTGCAACTTCTGTCCATCGGTGGATAAAGTGATCGTGTAAATTAAAGACTACGTATTATGGCCGTTTTCTTAACCTTGTGTTTCTTAAATCTCAGATGGCGTGAGGTGTAATTTTAAATGTTGACTGATGTTCTATATCGCACTGAAGTCAGTGTGATGTATAGCCTATTGCGCTGTATCTGAAACGTTTTTGAATGGTTATTTTTAAACTGCAAAAGACGGAAGTGCTGTAAACGTTAAGACGCAATATAAAAGTCATTCTAATTCTTAATATTTGGTGGCTTCAAAATTGAAACAATGATCTCTATCGGATGACATCCGCCGGAGGACTGCTACTTTTGCAGTGTTTTTCGCATGAGGTAATCTTTTAAAATAATTTTACTGCATTTTGTCTTATTACGTAGAATGCATTTATTGAATCCACGAAAGGTCAGCTTTTGGAACTTCCCGATAGTAAATATAATAAGGTGTGTAGGGTACTTGGTGCAAATCTGATATGCGGTTACATGTAAAGCAGATGATCCGTTTCTCACGTCTGTGGCATATGCTCACTTTGTGAACATGCAATATCGTAGTGCAACATTTAATTCAACATATTTAACCTTCCTTTTTACCTCTTCCATCCTTCCTCCAGAAACAAAACAGCCCCATTATTACAATGCCTTACTACAGCTTGGAGATCAGCTGGTGCTTGTGGACATTTCTAGGTCTGCTTTCACTGCCTGGTGTGTTTCTGAGCCAAGACAAGTTAAATAAACTCCTGTTGGTATCTTTCGACGGATTCCGTTGGGACTACCTTGACAGGGTTTCAACACCCAACTTCGACTCGCTGATTAAGAGCGGTGTGCAGGTGGAGCGCGTCTACAATGCCTACATCACAAAGACCTACCCTGACCATTACACCCTCGTGACTGGCCTTCACGCTGAAAGCCATGGTATAGTGGCTAACGAAATGTATGACCCTGACATCAACCGAACTTTCTCCATGGACAGAATGGATATTTATGACTCCATCTGGTGGGATGAAGCTATTCCAATTTGGGTCAGCAACCAAGAGGGAGGACACAGAAGTGGTGCTGCTATGTGGCCAGGTTCTGATGTGAAGATCCATGGGAAATATCCCACTCACTACATGCTCTACAATGAGTCTACCCACTTTGAAGTGAGAGTACAACAGCTGATCAGCTGGTTCATGAGCACCGAGCCCATCAACTTTGGCCTGTTGTACTGGGAGGAACCAGATGAGAGTGGCCATCGGTTGGGTCCTGAAAACCCTGAAATGAATGATGTTATATCTCAAATTGATTCCAACCTGGGATACCTGCTAGATCAGCTGAAAAAGAGTGGTTTATATGACGAACTGAATCTTGTCGTCACGAGTGATCATGGGATGTCACAGATGTCATTGGACAGGGTTATCGAGCTGGATAATTATGTAGATAGAGACCTTTATACATGGATTGACAAATCTCCCGTGGTTGGCATTTTGCCTAAGGAAGGTAAGACCCTACGTTGTTTCCGGGTTTTATTGTTTTCGTATTATTATTTCATATTGGGTTTTATTGTTTGGATTGTTCAGCTTTGCTTATTAATTATCTCTTCTTAGTGTAGTTAAAATGTAATATTTTTAGAGTCTGCAGCTACTGTAGGTCTAGTTATAGGTCAGTCACATTAGTCATGTCATTCTGGTGGTATCTGTTGTTCCGTGTATTGACTTAACTTAATTAACTTAAATGTTCCATATGAATTCAAATAAAACAGTTGTTCAAATTTCATGGAGAAATTACTTGATGCTGGAAAATATTGACCTTAAGCTTTTTCAAAAGAAATTATATGGTTGTTTGTGATTCCTTGATAACGTGTGTTTTTGTGTATATTCAGGCAGATTTGAAGAAGTGTACACAGCTTTAGAAAAAGCACACCCTAACATGACTGTGTACAAGAGAGAAAGCATTCCTGAGCGCTACTACTACAAGTATAATAGCAGGATTCAGCCTATTTTAGCAGAAGCCAAGGAAGGCTGGACAATTATGAGAAATAAAAGCGATACATTTATGCGTAAGTAGTGTATTAATACATTTTAAGATATATATGTTTAATCTCTTGAATCCCATCTGAGATTCATTTGAGAGCTGTCTTTATGAAAATGATCCCTAATTTTTGTTAATTAATTTGGTATCTGTTGAAGTTGAGGGAAGCTGAGATATAAGATTCAAAAGTACTTAGGACTGTTCTTCCCTAAATAGGGAAATGCATTGTGAAGCATTGGTGTGTAATTTCAGCTGTAGCAGGGATTCAACTTTAAAGTGGTTATTTAATGTCTGCCAAAATATGTAATGAAGTGATAAAACCTTAGTCTTATTTTATCTGTTGGACTGTGTTTAGTTACCAACTGCAATATGTTGAAAATGATCCATAATTTCTTATAGTTATTAAATTACAACAGCCTGTACAGCTTGATATCCGTAGCTTCAGCATGTAGAGGTCACCCCATCATGGGTAGGTGACCCTGGTTCTTGAGTGCTGGCACCTTTAAATCTGACCTGGAAAACAGAGCCAATTTCTTATCCTCTTTATTGGTTCAGTTAAGCCATTAATGTCTGCGATTGAATGAAAAATAAGTGTAGAATTCAAGGACCTGGGTTGCCTGCTCTGTATGACCATGCACAGTTTATATTAAAATGACTTTTATTTAATGGTTCTGATGCCTGTGTTTTTGTTCTGTTGGTGGTGATCAATACAAGCTGACACGTTCCCAATCAGTGTCAAATATATACGCAGTTGTCACTATATAGGTCTTTTTATGTAAAATATTAGTATTGTTTCAGAGTACTACTCTCTGTGTACTCTCAATGTACTACTCTCTGCATTTATCTTCATTAATATTATACTAGCATTGTTATCATAAGTTGCGGAAATATGTTATTGGCCAAAGGGAATCAAGTTCATCTCAAGTTTGGACTAACGTTTACAGGGGGTTTCACCTAGGCTGAATCCCCTTTATTTACCTCTGTTTTTCAATCTCCTTGCTCAGTGGGTAACCATGGTTATGACAACATGCTGCCGAGCATGCATCCAATATTTATTGCTCATGGCCCTGCCTTCCGGAAGAACTACAGCAAGAAGTCCATGCAGTCTGTGGACCTGTACCCGCTGATGTGCCAAATCCTTGGGATCTCCCCAGCCCCAAACAACGGGTCACTCAGCCACGTGCAAGACCTCCTCGCCGAATCCTCGCCTCTAGGCCCAGTCCAGCAGCTTGAGGACTCCCACTCCTCTTTGCTGGGTGCCATCTTGGGTTTTGCTCTTGTGGTAGGTTTTCTCATAATCTTTGTTAAACAGGTGACCCAAAAACAGATACCTGTGGTGCCCATCACTAATATTGAGATTGTACAGCCCCTACTACAAGATTAGAGTTGCTTTGTTTTTACATCAAGAACTCTCTAACACACTTTTCCTATCCATGCTAAAATGTTAGTAACGTTATATGTGAATGTTGACAATATGAGTCAGATACAGTATGTGCCTGGATGTGGTGTGATTTCATCTATACCTTTTTGTTTTTGTGCATCTTAATGTGGTACAAATTAATTGTCTTAACTGTAGCACTGTCTTCAGGATCAGTTCCTATACTTACTACCATCTAAAGACTTATATTTTCTTGTTAGTGTAGCATAATTGGCTGAGCAAGGGTCCAGTGGTTAGTTACAGTGCCTAGCAAAAGTATTCACCCCCCTTGGACTTTTTCACATTTTATTGTGTTACAGCATGGAACCATGATGTATTTAACTGAGAATTTTTGCCACTCATCAACACAAAGTACTCTTTAATGTCGAAGTGAAAAAAATCCAGACATTTGACTAAATTAATTAAAAATAAAAAACAGAAAATAATTGAATGCATAAGTATTCACCCCCTTGCTTTGACACACTTAAATTACCTCTGAAGTAACCAACTCTCTTCTCCAAGTCACATAATTACTTGACTGGAGTCCACATGTGTGCAGTTGAGGTGTTTAACATGATTTCAGAAAAAAATACACCTGTGTCTGGGAGCTTTTGAATACTTTTGCTAGGCACTGTATATATAAACAGGTGGTTGAGACATCACCCAGTTTCAATGTTTTGTTAAATTCTGAAGGTATGAATTCTCACATTCCAATTAACTGTTTTAATGTATTTATAAATGTAAAGAAATTATATATTCTGTTATTTTGAGATTCTTTATTCTTCAGCATTCTTGATTTAAAAAAAAATAGTTGGTCATTCTGTCCCAATGTTCTGACATGCCTTTAGTTTAGTGTGTGAGCTCTCAGCAGCCTGAATGTTAATGTTCTCCTCTGCACTTTGTTTTAAATTAAATGTTCCTCATAGAATAAGAATAGGTGGTAGTGCTGTGTTTAAGTGGATCGCAGAATACCTAAGTCTTAATGCTAACCAGGAAAACCACAAATACCACAGTAAGGCGCATCATCTTCAGAATGTTCTGGGTAATTAAAATCTACTACAAATGACGTATTGACCTGAAATAAATCTGGATGAAGGAGCTGTTCAAAGTGGGGAATCTTGTGCAAGAGAAAACTCAAACAAATTATGCCAGACTGCAGCTCGGAACGTGTGAACGGTCTGTGTAAACATTTTATGATCCACAGCATGTCCATAAAGCCACACTGACAATCTTAAAAAGTGTTGTTAGTACTCAGTCTCTTTGGTTAAAGAGCCATGTAAAGACACCTTCCTGTTGTCCCGATGCATGCAGCAACTGTGGATAGGCTTATAGGTGTATATAAGACACCATTGTGCTGTGAACATGTGTAAATTTACACCTTCCACCTATGTTAAGATAACTGTATTGTATTTAACAATTCAGGACAGGGGTCCGGAGAATGCAAAATATAGTCACCAGATCACTTATGATAATAGTTGTCATTTATGCTCTGAATTTTAATGTGAACATGTCTTTGCATGGCACTCTCAGTAAATGTGCTGCACTGCAGTTCAACTTCTGATTATTAGGTTCTGAATTATTTTCCCCAGAAAGCTAGTTTTTCACTCCTCCATCCAAATTGACCCCTTATTTTTCCTAGAAGAAATGCCATGAGTGATTCTGAGAGTATTCTGTTAAATTTGAGAGGTACATAACCAGCTATGGTTAGAAAAGGCTCAACAGCTTGTTTCAGGACTTTCAGCATAATAATTAACTAGTCTATAGTAAACTACTGAATATATTTCAATAAGTCATAGAAATTCCAAGTATAAGCAAATGAAGCCAACAGCAAAGACAACACAATGGCTTAGTAAGTTGAGAACCAAGCTCTAAAAATCTTAGTGTACATAACGAGTGTCTAGTGTATTTGTATCAGAATTCTTGTTTGTGTCTCTTCATAATTTGTTCCGTCTTTGGGCATTGTGAACAGTGTTGCTTATATCATTGGTCTGAATCAAAGTATTTGTGGACAGCAGTTTTATGCAGCAGATAGGTGTTTATTAAGGAGATCTTGTGCCCGGATAGGTTCACAGACCCATTTTACAAACAGTCCCAAGAAAATGATCTGGAATGCATTTTAAACTAGTTCTTTTGGGCTAAACAACCCCCCCCCCCTAGAAACTAGAAACACAGCAGCACCATCTATTCTTATGTAAACTGACATTAGCACTGTGATTTACTTTTATATGCTACCAGTACTTGAAAAATGTATAGTGCACTTTGTGTGGTAGTTAACTGCCTTATGTTAATTGTAAGTGACTATCTTTTTTTTTTTTTTTGAAGACATTAGATATCCAGAAAGAGATTTTCAAAGCTCTTATGCCTCAGAGGAAACATTGTTTTCCTTTTTCTTTATATAAAAGTTGAAAGTCATTTCTCTGGAGACATCTCAGGCTTCAGAAAGAATTTATTTTTCCTCACATAAACACTGCTTTGAATTCAGCCTGGAAGTGAGAAATGTGGGGGATATTTTTTGCACTGAAAACATTTTGAAAGTCATCCTAATGGTACCCTATACCAGGGGATATGTTTAAAAGAAGAAAAAATATATTTTTGAGAAACATGTGAATGGAACAGTAACTGCACTTTTTCAAACCCCCCTTTTTTCAAAAACGGCAGGGCTTTTTGAAATGAAATTTAGATTTTGTAGTACCATAGCTAAGCATTCATTATAAATGCAGGCACAAGCCGTCATTACTGAATACTACATAATTCCCCCTGCATGTAAACTGATTTAGGCCATTTGCAATGACATTAAGTGGCCTGCATTTGATTTCCCACAGAGAGACTTAAAAGGGGAACTACAGTCCACTGCCTTCATCCTTTCAAGTGCAGGCCTTCAGTATCTGCTGCAAATCTATATTTGTTCCATTGACAGTTTTACACATTTGAAATTGTTGCTTTCCTATTTAAAGCATTAGAATAAAGTAATTCACATGAGAAATGTACTGTAATTTGATCATAGATTAAGCCATATCAATTCTTAAACTCAGTGAAGCAATTAGTTGCATCCAAAATATAGATATTATATAGTACTGTATATCTGTAGCACAATGTTATAAAATACTAAGGCTCTTACTTAATAGGTACAAACATTCATTTTGCTACTTCACAGATTTGTAAGAGAATTTACCCAGAAAAATGTGCTTGCTCTGGTAAGTTTTGTCATAGAAGTATTTTTGTGGTTAATTGAGTAAGTAGAGTTTCCCATTAAGTGCTTATCTTTGTATTCTCAAGAAACTGTCCTTAATTGTTAATTGTAAATATTTTGTTAAGATGTTTAATGTAAATTAACTGATTGGTCATTATTTCAAATTATAATTACATGTGAATAGTTCTGTCTTTCAGATGTTATTCTGTCTTGTAGGAAGGCATCTTGCAGTAACGTGTTCTATTATGCCCTTTCTTTAAAAAAATGATTTTTTTCTAGAAAATGTGTAAAAACCTTTTTTTGATTTATGATAGATTCATCTTTCTCCAGTCTCCTGTCATGTAGGTTTCATTATTGTTTAAGAGCTTACATTATTGTTTAAGTGTCAAACAATACTTCAAGTGTTATAAATATGCCTTTGGTGGACAACAAGCGAAGGGCAGTAAAGAAGAAGTCCGGAATCATTAGCACAGACCACTAAAAACTATTGCAAGTTTGGAAAAAATACTGGACTATTGGAAAAAATAATCTTCCAACAGTATGTGAAAGTGCAGTACACTGTTATGAGATTTTAGCAGAATATATTTTACTTTAATTTTGTTCTGGTGTATAAACAATAACTAATTTAAATTTTATTTTTTACAAAAATTAAAAAAAAAAAGAAAAGCTTTCTCTCCAGAAGACTTGGGAGTACAATTCACCTACTTTTAACAGCTTCCCTTTCTCCCCCCATTATTCTTGTATAATTGATGTCTGTCCATTAGCTGCTGAATGGTTCATTTTCCTGTTTCTCCCTAAGCCTTCACATTACAGAAATGCATATACAGTAGCTACCACATTTTCTGGATACTTTCTGTTCAGAGAGGTCACTGAGGTGGTCAAGTCAATTCTGTTTCATGTGGAGGATGAGAATTGAGTTTTCTTTGTATTCCTGTCATTGTGAGAACTCCTCATGCTGCTTTATTGTCTAACCCCAGTGAAACCTCCAGGCATGCTGAAAGAAGACCAAAAACCAATAATTGTTTGGCACTTTTAATTTTAAAAGAAGACTCTTTGGATTAGAAAAAAAATCCCCATATCATCTGCCAGGTGTAGTTACCTGTGGGTAATGTCTGTGGGGACATTATCTGAAAATGTGTCCCCCAAGTTGCTCATTACACAAAAATGTCTCACTCACGAGATGTTTACGAGGGCCTTGAGTGGGAACAGTATATAGCTCATGAGGAATGTGTGCCATCTTTCAGGACTAGATGTCAGAACTGCTTTAGAGCACAATTAGGTCCCCACTGTGTTGATTTAAAAATTTGCCAGAGATATTTAGGCAAGTGTCAGCTGGTATAACCAGACTATGAACTTAAGGAGGGAGCTTTTTATTGGAGTGCAGTCAAGTCCCCTACTCTGAAGTTACTCAGTGAGTCCTAGCATCTGTCTGTACTGGTGAAAGACTGTAGAGTGAAAACATCTGACACTTTGCTTGAATGTGAAGGTGTAAGCTCTTTTACACAAATGTGTTTGTAATACTGAAGTACACTTCTGACTGTGCATTTTGAACCGCATCATACTAAGGCAAATTCTAAAAGTAATCAAAAGAAATATCTACAAATTTAGGATGATTTGAATTGATGGTACTGGAGGTTGTCCAAATTGTTTTTAGAATGTGGCTTTTGTGAAACTGAGCACTGAAAATGTGTATTAACCAATGATGAGATTACACTTTTTTGAGCAACTAAATAAATCTGTTTGAACCACTAAATCTTTCGTTTTATCATTGGTGTGGAGTGATTTAATTGTTTATAAGTAATTCTGTTCCACTGGTCTTTAAACGATAGCCTAGGTAAGAAAGCCTTTACCACTACAGGCTATATGTTCATTTCCTATAGTTAAATTATAGTTGGATCCATTTTTATTGTATAGTGATAAATCTTTGCTGGGAAATAAAATGAAGGTAGCTGAAATCAGACTCTACTTTTCTGATGAAACACAGAAAAGGGGTTGATTAAGTGCTCTTGGAAAAGCACTTGATACCACGACATTCCAGCTCATCCCAAAAGTGTTCATTAGAGCTTGCCTAACGAGTATGGCATCCTAGGTTTGGTAATCATTTTCATCTCACAAGAAAGATGTTTTGTCGTGAGCAGCACAAGCTATCCCAATTGACCCACTCACTGATGTGCTGATTTAGTATTTATGCAACAGCCAAAATTACTTGTCTGTATTCTGGTTAATAATGAATGATCAATTAATCAAAATAATGCCCAAAACATTTGATTAATATTGAAAACCTGTAGATTTCATTTTTCATAAAACATTCTTAAATAGTTAAGATTTCTTCTGATGTACTGTATTTGTGGGCTGGCTCTGGCTGATTCTTTGAAATTTAATTATTCTTAAAAACTATGGAGCACACAGAATAAAAATAGATTTGTAATAAGTGCCAACAGCATTTTGCAGTATTTAGCAATACAATTCAGTAAGGATAAACATTTGAAAAATTATATTTCTGCAGAAATAAAAAAAACAATCCAATACTCAATCAAGTACTTTTTATTCTCCAAACAAGCTTTTCAACAAAACATACAAGATAAGATCACTTAATTGGCCATAAACAATTTCTTGCATTAGGAATTTCTTTTTCAGATACCCCAGCTTGCTCTCCATGAGACACACAGATAGGGAGAGAGAAGCCTGGGGTCAGAGCACAGGGTCAGCAATTGTACAGCACCCCTGGAGCAGTTGGGCTCAGGAGCCCAATGGAGTTGGATTCCTCTGCCAGCCGCAGGATTTGAACCAGCAACCTTCCAGTCACAGGTGATGATCCTTAGCCACAGAGCCACTGCTCTGTCCATATTAAGGAAGTACTGGCCAATGAGATGAGACTGAACATGACCACAACTGCATTATACCATCTATCAAAAGTACTTAAGTACCTCATTTTACAACAGATAAAATGTGTTTCTGTAACTGGGTATTTTATTATTTAAAAAGACAGTATTATATGCACACAAAAGAAAAAAGTTTGCTATTTAAAACTGGCTATAAACATAAAGGCAATAATTTACCACAAACACCAGAGCCCTGCAGGCTTTAGATGTACTTTTAAATTAGCAGGTGATTAATAACACAACATTTGATTTCTTAGTCAAATTAATTTTATGTGATTAAGACCATGCCTGATGTGATACCTGTCCTGGACAACATTATTTCACAATGAGAGGGATCACACAATAATCAGTGTACAGTAGCATGAAGTGGCAATGAATAGCAAATCAATTTCATGGGAATAAAATGAACAAATAATTTAGCAGCAGGTCAGAAATACAGACACATTTGAATAATGAGTTTTAAGGCACACAGCAACTAGTAACAATACTTGCAAAAAAAAACTGCAGATCATAAAAAAGTGGAAAGCTAAGTATTGCTATTTTAGAATAATTTATACTTCCAAAAAGGCATGTCATAGCATAGTATTAGAAAATCCCATAAATCTCTTAGTGCCTGTACAATACACTTTGCCCATAAAAAAATAAATATTTTTTTAAATAAGTTCTGTAGATCTTGTTTACATAACATTGCATAGAAAATTCAAATATACAGATTCACAAAGTCTTACGCCACAGACATTTTTATTAAATACTGGGCAAAACACCTTTAGGTCTTTTAAACTTTCATTCAGTGCATTATAGTATCAAGAACTGTGGCAATCCGACCATTAAAATACATTACTCTACAAGTCTACACCCATCAAGACGTTCATGTTGTAGTGAAGGAATCACATATTTATATATTGAAGAAAGTATCCTTTTAAAATGAGAAAATGTACCAAGATGTCATTAAAGAGAGTCCTTTAGGACTCGGCCAAAGTTGCACTAGGGAAGGAATTCATTAGTTAGAACTAATTTAATGTTTAATCAAATTCAATCTGATGATCATAGTAGTATTTTGTATTCCAGAGTGATTAATGTTTACAAAAAAGAGCCAATATAAAATATATGTATATCTGGGTTGTGTTCATTTGCAACCCAAAATGTTCCCTACAAACTCTTTACAAACAAAGAGGTATTACATTTTTGTTTGCAAAGATTTATGTTGGGGAAAAATTATAAAGTATTCTACTTCACAATACGATTAAGGCTATTAAAAACGATTTACAACCAGTAATTAAAGTGAGCATTATATTACTACAATGTGTACCAGGTAAATCCAGAAAACAAAAACCCTAGAATTCCTCCACTATCTATTTAATATTACTTCAAAAATTATTTTTTCCATTTACTGATTGAGTCAATATTCAGTCTAACATAAAAGCACAAACATGACCTAATTCCTTCAACACTTAAAGTGCAGGCAATATAAAACATAAATAATGTAAGTGCAAACTTGCTCCAGATAACAGCCAATACACAACTGTAACAAGTGTGAACTCAAGTAAATCCCAAGGCATTTTACACTTTTTCTTTTTGATGGCTTTGTTTAAATTCACAAATTGTACATGCAATTTTATTTAGAGAAGTGCCCTCAGCTTATGAGACTCTGGTACACCGTATCTTTGCATTCAACTAAAGGTCAGAGGCATAAAAGAAATTTCCGACTTTAAAAGTACTTAAATCTCAACAATTCTTTAAATCGTACTCATGTTTTCAAACATTTGGCATTTAAAATAAAAATATCTTTAAAAGGCCAGAGGTCTCTTTGCCTTTACAGTTCTTTCTATCAACAGCAATAGCTGATTACTAAATAGGGATCACAGCATTAGAAAATCAATTTTAAGGGACAGCCGCCCTCACAAGGTGTTTCGAACATTCTTCTTTTGTAGACTTGTTCCTGAGAATCTAGCAAAAACATGTTTTTAAACATTTCTTCCAATCTTTCTTTGTGAGCCAAAATATTCATTCCTTTACCCCTTCACTTCATTGGCCTCCAACTCAAGAATTAAAACTATTCTCATTCACAGGCCTAGTTTAATTCCCTAAGCCACTGGCAGTTCCCTTTGCAAAGAGCATACTCTGGTTGAGTGGGAAAAAAACAATCGAATCTTTTATTCCGAGGGGGCCCTTCAGTCCCTCCATTCAGTATGAAATTCCGTTTGCAGGGCCAAAAATAAATCCCATTAGATTTTATTAATGAAGTTTGCTGGTACACCAACTACACCTCAACCTTTTCCCCTGCAGTGTTGATGTGTAAACATCCAGACACTTAAATTAATGAAGTATAATGCAATGGTAGCCTTCTATACTGAAAACACTGCATGCTGTCCTGGATTGTAGAGCTAAAGCCATGCCCTAGCATAGATGATGGACAGGAAAAGCCATTAGTCCCAGTATACAGTATATCCTCTGGGCCCCATCAAGGCTTGCAGATAAGGATTAAAATGTTGGAAATATTTAATTTAATTATTAAGTAGGTGTTAGATTATGAAACAATATAGAAAATAAATGTTAATTGCTCAAAACCATGTGCAGGCAGTCTGAATGTCCTGAGATTTAAAATAAGCTTCTTTTTCATATTCCCATGCAGACCGATCTCATTTACTCCTCTGTAACAGCAGTTGTGCAGCGGTGTTGTGCAGACTGCAAAGTTGAACTCCCCTACCCCAGCAGTGGATCATCATCGTCGTCATCCTGTAGCTCCAGACGAGCAAACGGCCGAGAGGATGACGGCGTTCTGTTCTTCATCAGCACAAATAGGCCAGTCAGGGTGGTCAGGACCATCAGCACACCGATCACTATGCCGATGACTTCAGGAAGATCGGTGCACCTCTCGTCGACAAGCAGGCAGTGAGAATTATAGAAACTGCCATTGTTGGGCATCTTCTCCATGTGCAGAAGGTGGCACATCAAAGGATAAATGTCCACGATGTTCAAGCTAGACATCCTGTAGCCCTTCTTGAAGGCAGGCCCATGGGCCGTCAGGAACGGATGCATGCTAGGCAATGCATTATCATAGCCATGGTCGCCCACTGTAGTGAGAAAAATTGGGGAAACACGTAAATTACTATATATAATAGAACAGAACAGTTTCTATTTCAGAACACAGCTACTAAATAGAGTAATTTAAACACCTCAATATTCAATATAAACCAGCTATCTTCCAGCATGGGCAGATAACATTCTTAATTTGGGTCTGTGTATATTTTGAAGGCGTTTTGCGATTCCAGTAGCAAAGTTCAAACTGAATTATTGCACTTACTGTACATAGCATTTTTCATCCTGTGTGATCCCAAAGCACTTAACATATATATGGGCTCTCATTCAATTTACTCCTAAAACATGGATCCCTCCAGCGTGATTCATAGTAGCCAAATGAGAGTATGGAAAAGCTATCCAGCCATGTTTGTTGACATCGATACCCTGGCTTCTTCTAAGAAAGCGCTTGATGATATCCTTGGTTCAATAAGCGACTAACTGCCAAACGTATGTTCTAAGTAGAAGTAACACTTTTACTCTTACGAGCAGTGCCATGAGATAAGAGCCAAATAGTCATGATCTCTCCTTAATAACTCATCTGATGGTTGGGACCTCTTCTTAACCGAACATCTCTAGTGGAGTAAATCGACAGTTGCCAATCACCTAATTATCCCTGATCAAAGGTTACATCTGACTATCATAATCCTTCAATACCACACTAAGCTGAGCCATGAACTCTTATTTTATTCAGTGTAATATTTTTTCCATCTCACGTTTATGGAGCATAAGGTCTTGACCTCAGTCACTAACCCTAAAATTCTAAAGTAAGGACAAGAATCTTACATCGTAGATGGCTTTCCTCCTGAACAATCGTCCAGCCTTCATCTGCCACCAGAATAATTGGCTGGATCCTCTCATTGTCCCTGTAATGAAACCTATCAGGAATTTCAGCTTGCAGGTATGCTTTCATATTGGGGTGACAGTCCTTCAGCGCATTGTACACCTGTGTAGCATCTGTCCAACGAAAGACAAGAAAAAAATACATATTTAACTATGAAGTCAATTTAAATACAACTGAAATTACATTTAAAGGAGTCATTTTAAATACAACTGTAGTGACTCAGAGTAGAAATCTTAGCTTTAATAGCAGAGTTGAAATACTGTATACAGTAGTTTCACGCACTTGCAATTGTTGTATCGTTTTATCAAGTTTAAACAAGATAATGGAGTTTTGGGGATAATTCTTAATACCCTTTTTTAATTCCAGACCTGGGGTGGTATTTGTGAGGAGTCTGTATGTTCTCCCTGTGTTCATGTGGGTTTCCAGCAGGTGCTCTGGTTTCCTCCCACAGTCCAAAGACATACTGGCAGTTTGATTGGCTTTTTGGAGAAAATTATCTCTGGAGTAAGTATGTGTGTGTTTGTGTCTGTATGTGCCCTGTGATGGACTGGCATCTCATGCAGAGTGGCTCCCCTGCAGTTAGAAAATTGATGGATGGACAGATACAATAGGCATACGGTAGAAATGAGCACAAAGATACATTGCTGTGCTCCATCGATCTGTTTGTTCAGTTTGTCCAGTTCTTGGACTGAAAAAGAAAATGCATATGCAAGGAAAATTATTTGATGGCATTTCATGGAGTACTATTCATCCTGAAGCACTGAATACCTTCCGAATTTTCAAAAAGGATTAAGTCCAAAATTTTCCTAGTTGCTTAAAGAGCAAGAATAAAAATAAAATAATCTAACCTGAGGCTACATAAAATCAAAGAATATGTGAAAATGTAGATCTACAGTGAACAATTATTAAATCACAAAATAAAGTGAATTGGAAATGTAGTTTGTTTTAGCAGCCTTTAGCTTTGCTTTATTCCATTAAGAAAACTAGCAAAACAGTCTTATATATAACTGCTCTTTTTGTAAAGGTCTGCTTTTCAAGCTTTAGTGTAACAAAGGTAAATATTTGTGAAAGGAGATGACAGGGCAGGCATGAATATACAATAGCACTGGATCAAACTGCAAAAATTTTGACTCCAGTCAGTTCTGTTTTAGGACCCCTCAAGACTAAAAGCACCAATTTTTCTCTGGAAATTAAAATAAATACTCATGCTTATAACTGGAGTCACCTAAACACAGGCTGGACTAAATCTATTGTTCATATACCAATGTGTAATCTGGTTATGTATCTTGTTATTTGCTTATATCTGTTCTGTAACCCTTTGTACCTCCAGCAGAAGTTAACACAGGTGTACCCCGTCCTACTTTCCAACAGGGCACTTACTTGTCAGTGGTATGATGGCAGCCACAGGAGTGAGGTACACACTGGTGTAATTTGCACTATCAATACACTTATCTAAGTGTATTAACCTGTCCTTGGAACATTGGGTCATCCCATGGTCACTTGTAATAATGACATTCATTTTGCCCCATAGTCCAGACTGATTCAGTTTGTCAACGAGGAATCCAATCAGGTTATCGACATCTTTCAAAACCTTGCCCATCTCTGTTGTATTGTCCGGCCCGTACAAGTGGCCTGCATGATCAGGCTCCTCCCAATACAGCACAGCAAACTTCACCGTCTCATCCTCGGTCAGCCTTTTGGTGAGGTTCCCCACTCTCTCCTGAAAAGTCACCTTGGAATCGTAGCGCAGGTAATATGTCGACGTCATGTTGTGAATCGGTACATCAGTCCCCGGCCACATGGCCGCCGCGGTCTTGTATCCTTGCTTCTGGGCCGACACCCAAATAGGAGTAGCTTCGTTCCACCAGAAGGGGTCGGAATCATTGGCGATCGAGAAATTCTTTTTTGTTACTGGGTCGTACATGGTGCTAGCCAGCATTCCATGGCTTTCGGCATAGAGGCCAGTGACGATGCTATAATGGTTGGGGAAGGTCTTGGTGACGAAGACATTGGTGAGCTGCTCCACGACAACCCCGTCTGAAAAGAAGAACTTCTGCAGGTTTGGAAAGTTAAACTTCTTTAGGTAGTCTGCTCTGAACCCGTCAAAGGAGACGAGCAGCAGCGGGGGGCCGGAGGTGTTCTGGAGTGCGGTCATGTTCCCAGTGTCCTCACAAACGCCTAATCCAACTTCCACAGCCAGGACACACAAAAACAAACCCACCAACATCCTGGATTACGTGGGCTTTTACTGCAGAGGTATCCTTATTGTGGTTTTAGACCCTAAAGTGAAAGAAAATATGCATAAATCTTTCAGAAGCTAAAGCTTTACAAAAAAAAAAGAATGTGATGACTGGAAAAGGAAATAGGATAGTAGTGCTTCCCATAAATCTCAAACAATTCTTCAGCTATGCCAGACCAAACACAAAATGTATTTTCCTAGCATGACTCAGATGTTCTTGTCCTGTGGTAACATAACACAGACAGGTCATATTGTACTTTGGGAAAAAAAACATAGTTCTATTGTACTCAGTTTAGAAAACAAAATGTCCATTAAATGAATAGATTTTTATATATGCCTACAACCCTAAATACTACAAGTATTTTGTAAATACCAAAGTATTTTGTAAACATGCAGAGCTACACACCTGTCGTTGATGAATGTACAATAATCCCAAGGAGAAATAAAAATAAAAAGCAAAGTTAGAGTGCACAAAGTCACTGTACATTCAGCTTGTATGCAGGTTTATCAACATCAGGACTAAGATCCATGAAAAAAGCTTTCAGAATAACAGTGCGTTGACATTTTTTTGTTTTGGCACAGTATATAGTAGGATACTGTTTCTGCTAATATTCTGCCAGCACCCATCTTAAAACACCTAAAAAACATGGTAACTTTAATCCCACTCAGTAAGTTTTCTAATAACTGTAAAAATACATTTTACTTCATTTCTCTTCACAGTGCACTTTACATTTTAATTAAGAAACCGAATCACAAATTTGGATATTAAAAAAGCAATCAACTCTTAAATACACATAGTTGTAAACAAAACGGTCAATGTACAGACTGAAAACAAATCGTCTCTCGCTTTTAAAGAAATATGTACAGTAGTATCTCAATATGTACAGTAGTTCTCATATTGCAGGCATCCCACACAGGATGTGTGGTCTAGCACTTGATTTTTGCAATATCCTCCTCTTAGGTTTTAAAACTTTTATTGCCTTTTTTTTTCTAAGGATGGGGTAACAGGACTTAAAAGTATTTTTTGCATTAGATATTATGGTGAAAGAAAAGCTCTAACAACTGGAAGCATTTCTCTTGCGCACAAATGTTACAGGAGGTCCTTCACTTGGGTTTGCATGGGTATTGTGTGTAGTACTTCCTTCTTATCCTGGATTGGTTGATACAAGTGATTTCTGCAAGTGATACATGTAGTTTTCAATTTAAAAAAATAAAAATAAATGAAAAATATGATACATGAAACAAAACAAGTGCATTTCAGTTAGGGGATGTCTGAAATTTCCTTAATTTGTTTTCAGTAATGTAATTTAATGTCTTCAGTAATGTAATGTCTGATGGCTTCATTTCTCAGGTCAAAACTGACTACTGACAACAGTTGTTCAGAGGTTAGTGTGAAGAAATTATATTTTTTTAGATCAGCAAATATAGCAACACAGTGGTGCAGTGGTTAGCATTCCAGTCCTAAAGTACTATCTGCATGGAGTTTGTATGTTCTCCCCATGCTTGCGTGGGTTTCCTTTAGGTGCTAGTTTCTTGTACAGTCCAAAAACATACTTAATTAGGTAAAGTTAATTTGTTTATTGCTAGGGTAGGTCAATTGGCTTCTGGGAAAACTGGTCTTAGGAGTGAATGTGTGTGTCTGCTTTGTTATAGACTGCTGCCCATTGCTTGTATAGTTAAGGAGCGGAGCGGTGGCTCTGTGGCTAAGGATCGGCGCCTGTGGCTGGAAGGTTGCTGGTTCAAATCCAGCAGCTGGCAGAGGAATCCTACTCTGTTGGGCCCGTGAGCAAGGCCCTTAACCCCAACTGCTCCAGTGGGTGCTGTACAATGGCTGACCCTGTTCTCCGACCCCAAGCTCCTCTCTCTGTCTGTGTGTCTGTGTGTCTGTGTCTCATGTAGAGCAAGCTGGGGTATGCGAAAAGATTAATTCCTAATGCAAGAAATTGTATAGGGCTAATAAAGTGATGTTATGTTGTTAGTTCCCCAAATTCAAATTAAATGAAGCAGTTAGGAAATGGGTGGATAGAACAGCAAACTTGTTTCTGGAGTAAACCATTATTTGTAGTATGTTTTGAATAAACTACCATTTTGGATTGGAATACCGTACAGTAATTTAATCTGTGAACTAAAACCGACATTTTTTAGAAGATAAATTGGATTAATCTGCAGCGCCACACCAGACAACTCGTGGCTAATGATGAGCTGACAAGTTGCTTAATGTACATTTCCTTGGGAAATTCCATTTCTGCTCAATGGTAGGGTGAGTAAATTTGTTAAAGCTGCAAAAAACAAGCTCACTGACCAACCTGAGAGTGAACAATATTTTAATCATTTGTTTTAATAAACCTAATCTATCCAGCTAGACTAAAAAGTCTATTTAAAAAAAAATGTTTTTGTTAAAGAGATTTTTTTTACAAATTATTTCATAAAACACAGTACAAAAAGAAAGCTTTGAGTCTGGAAAATAACCATGACAGTCACATTATTCAGAAAACTGCATTATAATATGAAACATTTGCCAAACCTTTGGTCTTAATGAAAATTAGTATCACATGAACAAAAATACAAGATAAATGGATTCTTTCATGTTTTAATTTATTTTTCCTGGTGATTAGTATGGTAAACAAATGCTTACTGATAATCACTGTACTATCTACAAATCACCTATAACCAGGTGGAAGCCAAATGACACTGGAAGAATAAAACTAAAAACAAACGGACGGGAGAAATGGCCGGACTACATTTTAAAAGGAGCTGTGATGCTTTTGTTTTTATCATTCTTGACTACATGGGGTTTTATCCTGTATAACTGCGAAAAAATATAATCCACTAAAGATTGACAGGGACTAAGGTGTAACCTACTATATGTTAATCCAAAATCTCTTCATCCACCTACTCACATAAAGTACTACCAACGAGGAAGCAGGAAATGAAAATCAGTCGTTTGTTCCTCATAAACAATTGTGAAACATGATCCGAAATACAGGAGCAAATCCACAGCTGCCCGAACTCTAAATCTATTTAGGGCTTTAAATCGGTGTACCAGTGGAATTTTATGAGAACAACAACATCATCATCCAGGTATTGATCGCTTTTTAGTATATTTGGGCTTTCAAGTCATGCTTATTTTTTCCAACACATTTTTAAATGTTTAGTTAAAATATGATGTGTATACAGTATATAAACGACAGTAATAATATAATAGCATTGGCACAGAAACATCCGTAAACTTCTTAAATGTCTTTTTTGACGGTTTTCTGCAATCTATATTTATGTAATCCCCACGTCTACAGAAATGTAATTCTAGATTAAGACATTTTAAATACACTTTGACAGACATTGAGGTTCTCAGACCCTCTAGAAGTTCTGATACCTATATCCCTGCAATCAGGGATACATTCTTGCATTATTATTATTGCTGTTGCCTACATGGTCTCCTAAAACACATACAGTAGGTTGCGTAACCCAGTGTCAGACAAATTATTCGCGCTGTTAAATAATAATCGGAATCAAGAAAATTAGGACCTCAATCAAGACCTAAGACGTCACACATTTTCCATGTCGTACTTTATAAACTGTAAGACACGTTTGATTAGTCAGTGTCTTACCAATGTAATACAAAAATGTAAATACATCTGCTCGGTATAAACGTTCTAATCTTTCTGCTACACATTACTGACTGTACATGCGACTGATAAATTAAAGCTCAGGAAAGAGAAGATTTAACATTATGCAGCGGGCAATAAGGAATATGATACGTCTCTTCCGGAGACATGATAAGATACAGTGTATAGCCCAATAATTATATAATGCTGAAAATTAAAAACATTATTTTATCAAATAAACAGTAAAAGTACAAGGTACTCACGGTTGTGATATAATCAGGATACATACAAGTTATCACGTATAACTAAGGTTACACGGAAATAAATCTCACTGTGTGTGTTGTATAACAGCAGATCACTACTGTCCTTTCGCTGCGGCGATCTAAATTTCAAATACACGCACTAATGCAAGCCTGTTATCTAAATCCAGTATTTTAATACATTAAAATAACTAAAGACTGAACTTTTTTCATCTCATTTCAGCAATTCACAACTTCCTTAAAATAGTCACTGAGGTGACGTCTTTTAATTGGCAGTTGAAGTAGCCTATTGGGATGGGGTAGATGGGCGGTAGTCAAAGTTGTACCACGTGGAAAAACATTTGCCCAGGGCTTTTTTTTTGACAGGGCGGTTACGGTTGACCGGAGAAAACTGATGTATATTTCCGAATTCTCTTGCATCTAAACGATGAACTCTCTCAGTAGCTAAACCATTAATATTGCATATCTAAATTTTGCCCTACATTATACAGTATATCATAACGAAGGTTATACTTCCCTCGTGTAATAATAAATTCTAAAATCTTCTTTAATTAAAATACCATCCCACCAGCGCACAAGTTCTGCTCAAGACAGACATCTCTGGAATGGAGTGAAACAGGCTTTCATATATATATATGTGTGTGTCTTATATATATATATTTCATATATATATATATGTATCTTATATATATATGACTTATATTAGACAGAAAGACCTTGAGGATATACACTTACATCAGATTGCTACTCATTAATTACAGCTCCGAATTTAACACTATAGTTCCATCCTGACTAGTCAGGAAGCTTAATGACCTGGGCAGCAGAACCTCTCTCTGCATCTAGGTTCTGGATTTCCTGACTGGCAGACCACAAACTGTAAGGGTCAATGGAAAGATTTCTTCCATGCTGACCGTCAATATACAGTAGGTGCCCCTCAGGGCTGTGTGATGTTTTCCTTGTTTGCCCACAATTGTGTGGCCAGACACAGCTCCAACTCCATCTACAAATATGCTGATGACACTACCATCATTGGCCAAATCACCGGTAATGATAAGACAGCCTACAGGGATGAGGTATTGTCATTGCCTTGACAATAATCTCTCCCTCAACGTCAGCACAACTAAAGAGCTGGTTATCGATTATAGAATACAGGGTGGGGACCACACCCCTATTCACATTTATAAGGTGGCTGTAGAGATGGTTAGCAGGTTCAAGTACTTGGGTTCCTTTATTACTAATGACTTAACATGGTCCCAGGATGTAACTGGAGCTATAAAGAAGGCACAACAGCGCCATTACTTCCTCAGACAGTTGAATTTGGTCTATCTTCAACTGTCCTTACCACATTTTACAGGTAATAATGATGATGATAATAATAATAACTGCTTATGTTGCAGGATGTAGGCTGTTGAAGCAGTAACAGGCTATGATAAATCGGTTTGTGTTGATGGTCAGGACTGTGTCAAAGTGACAGTGGAGCTGTCAAGGATGGCGTTAGGAGCACCTGGTTGGACCCTATGCGGCGCTGAGACTGTAGGTAGCTAGTGATTGGTGTCCAAAAGCCAAAGGAAAAAGTCATAGTCGAGGTAGAAGAGCTAGGTCGGGTAGCAGAAGAGTCAGGTCGAGAGTATCCAAATCCAAAACGAGGAGCTAGACGAAGTTGAAGCAGGAGGAAAACAAGGTCCGGTAGCCAGAAATCAGGTCGAGAGTAGTTTACGCGCACAAGAGAAAGCCAAGGGTTATTCTCAATAGTGAGCGGGAGAGGGTAGTGAGAGGGTATAAATAGGGAAGAGAATGAGGAATGACAATTGATTAATTAGTGCGTGGGTGTTGGTGGTGAGAGGTGCTTGTAGGAATGTGGTTCGTGACAGGAGCAGGAACAATTAGTAACAGTGGTCACACCCAGGTCATCCAGAAAACAATTACTGTAGGTAACATGGAGGTGTGAGGTGTTGCTGAGCCAGTTTGAATCAGAACTTGGGCAGAGGGGGGGGGCAGTAAAGCAAACAAAGAAGTGATAAGTGTCCATGACACCTAGGACTGCCAGTTTTCAAAACGACCCAAGCTTCCTTCTGGTAATCTCTTGGGCATACCCACCGCTGACAGAGATAATGAGAAAACTCCTGAGGGGGGAATGGTTTACAGAAGGGATAAAAAGATCTGAGCCTGAACGGAGCCTGCACTCTTCTCGATACAAGACAAGCAGCGCAAGGCAAGTTGCACCCGGCGAAACTACAGAGGAGATTGTCCCAGGAACTGCAGACCAAGGGAGAGTTTGGCAGAGGAACGGAGGTGTTGTGCAGAGATGTTCAATACTTGGAGGCAAGAAGCAAAGAAACTGGCCTGGTGAGTCGATACTGGTGAGAGGAACGTAGTGCAGGCTAATGGAGGACTCCCGATATTCCCAAACTGCCCAGGGACTGGGGAAATTGGACTGTGTGGCATCCCTTTTCTTTGCGTTGCTGTTCTTCTCTGAAGCACCAAGACTTTTTAACGCCCTCTCCCCATCACCTAAAAGGACAGCTGACCCTCAGGAATTCATTATGACCCTTGGAAGTTCCATTTGTTGCTGTGAATGCTGTTTTCTTTGAGAATGCTATCACCTTGGGGTGATAGTAAATGTTGATGTACTCAGAAAACATTATAAAAAGACATTATGCTGGTCTGTGTGTGCATTGGTGATTCTGGGAGATGAACAGACCCTGTGGTTAAGTAGAGGGGGCCTAGAACCCTGTTTGTATTGCTAGGTTACAGTACGTAGTTGATACAAGGCAGGCAATAATTCTTCTTTAAGGGGTCACCTCACTGTGACACTTACACTTATATAGCACTTTTCTGGACACTCCACTCAAAGCACTTTACAGGTAATGGGGACTCCCCTCCACCACCACCAATGTGCAGCACCCACCTGGATGATGCGACAGCAGCCATAGTGCACCAGTACTGTATGTTCATCACAACTGTCAGTGTGGAGGAGAACAGAGTGATGAAGCCAATTTATACTGTAGATGTGGATTATTAGGAGGCCATGACTGATAAAGGCCAATGGGAAATTTGGCCAGAATGCCAGCTTAACACCCCTACTCTTTTCAAGAAACACCCTGGGATTTTTTATGACTACAGAGAGTCAGGACCTCCATTTTACATCTCATTTGAAGGATTGTGCCTTCTTACATATAGTGTCCCCATCACTATTCTTTGGGATTAGGACTGCAGGGTGAGCACCCCCTACTGGCCCCACTAGTATCACTTCCAGCAGCAACCTTAGCTTACCCCTGGTAAGTGTTATAGGAGCATAAAGGCACGAACGTCCAGACTCAGAGACATCTTTCCACAACATGTCAGATTACTAAACTCTACCCCTACCACTGGCTCACACTGATGTTTTTTTTTTTCTCACACTGGTTGTCATACTTTTTTTAAAGCTGTATGTTATTTAACTAGTTGTTGCTGCTGATGTGGCTTCCAAAAGTATTGGGAACAGCAAAGTCAAATTTCTATTTACTCTTATTTTTGCAAGACACTCAGATAATTTGTATTTGTGATCATGGGATAAATATGAACGATAAATTAAAAAAAATAAAGCATACAGTATATAATAGCATGTATACTCTACAGTTGTGATCCCTTAATGCAGGAACTTCACCTAGCAATTCTAAGGGTGCTGTCCTCTACCCAACATTTTCTTGTTATCTTCCAGATATATCTTCCAATGCATCCACAAACCAGACAACACAGTAGTGTCACATCTGAAGAAGGCTTCACAGCCGAAATGTTGTGTTCTCTCTCTTCTCTTTTCAGCATGGAATAAACCTATTACTTGTTCCTTTGCAGACTACGCATGCTGAGGCAGCTACCCACCTGAACTAGTATCACATTATTATAATCATAAGTAATCGTTACACTTACAGAGCACTTTTCTGAACACTCAACTCAAAGCCTTTTACAATTGTATAATTATAAGTAAATATTATTTATAATTTCCCTTTTTATTGTTTTTTTACAATATATCATTATCTATCTAAAAGCCCAGAAAAACATGACACAAAAGTATCATCACTTAATTATATGTAATTATAGTATTAGAATTAAATGCACTTACAGAAAGACTTGAACACCATGGTGCCCTGTTACACAAACACCAATTACAAAGGGGAAAAGGGGGGTTCGTTTTCCAAAATCACAGCTCCGGTTGGTGACTTGGCATGCCTTGTTGTGCCACAGAGAAGAAACTCTGTGTAGCCCAGTATGGGTAAGAGGGGGAGGAAGACGATTCTAGAGACTTCCTCTTCTGCTCTCTATAGAGTGTCTGGTGTCTGAGTCCTCTTCTGGTTCCAATGGTGCACTCTAGTGTACATTCCCCTGATTTCTTCTCTCTGTCTGTGCTGTGGTCTACTAGTGCTTTTGTCTAGGGTGTGGGCAGACCTAAAGCTCAGGGCTAAGTGACTATATGCAGTTGGACAGGTTTAATGATGCATTGTCTATGCTCCTCCACACCTTTCAGTCCTCCTCTGGCCCAGGACTGGTCTGCACTGGCTGAGCTCCACCACACACCTCAACGTGCCACCCCTTAGTGTGTGGTAGTTGAGTTACAGGTACAGTATGTCTGAGCAGAGTGTCTTTCAATCCTTGTTAATTGGTGCAGTACCTGCCCCACTGTCCGTGCATTCTTTCACTTTGTGACACATACAGATACTTTGTGTTCAACCTTGTGATTTAAAGTGTCCATTTTAGGTCAATTTTTAGTTGTGTATCCCTTTGAGGCAATAACTGCATGATATACTGTAGGTGACCAATTGAGCTGACTAAGCTCTTTCTGTAATCATTTGAGATACTTTGTTGCAGCTAGTTTTTGCTCTTTCTATTCTTAGAGTGTTCTGATTTCAAGTTGTTTTTCTTTAACGTAAAATACTTGCTTAACTGGATTGAAATATGGAAATTGACCTATCCAATCTGAGATTTTCCTCTTCTTGTGATGAATACTTTAGGTTCATTGGTTGTATGTTTTGGGTCATTGTGTTGCTTCACCCAATATATATGGGATCAGTTTCTTCTATATAAGCAATATAATCTATATATTTGCAAATAAAATAAGCTTCAGAATTAATTCTGCTACTGTTACCATCAATTAACTTATCAATACCGACGGGCGTGTCAGAACCTGAGGTGGCCGTTCTTGGCCTGGCTGTGACATTAACTCCATTATACTTCAGAATTCGCTTGATACAAAGATGGCCGAGGAAACTTCAGAACAAGATCAAAGTTACATTAAACTGAATGTGATGTAAAAGAGTGGAGAAAGACAGAAAGCTCATACAAAACCACAGAATACCACCTTATCAGTGAAGTATGACAGAGGTACTGTACAGTGCAGTAGTTCTGTTTGGTGCTCCAGATTAGTTCTTATTCACAGATAAACCAAGTTAATTGTTTTATTTTTGGAGTGTTTTTAATTTGTTTTTCACTTCGTTGAAGGTTTTAAATCATTTATGTTTGAACCCTGTCCCAGTTTCCAAGTTCCAAATCTGCCTACATTGATGTACAGTATATTAGGTGATACAGTAAGTAAATACTGTATGTAACAGAGATAAGCTTAGGGCTATGACTGTATGGAAATT